GCCTACTCTTTTACCAACGAATAGTGGGATTGACCGTCACATTACAAAGGCCCCACGGCTGAAAGGGCGAGCGTGTTTGGTATGACGGAGACATGCATAGCAATCAAAGTGAATACACACTCATACAATAAAATTGTAACGAACTTCTAAATTTAAAATGAGTAACCGTTAAAAAGAGCTAATTAGACAGATCTGTTTTAGGTAAAGTGAAATAACAGACTATAAATTTTTGGTGATCCCATCAAGAATTAACAATAAAAACCTAATATTCACGGAATAAAATTTAACGAACGTTTGAAAAATGAAATGTAGAAAACTGTACTTGGGAATGCTATCCGTGTTATTAGCCCCATCCCCCACTTATAGAAAGCTACTTCTATTTGTATGTGATCGATCTTGTAATGTGTCAGAGACAACTTAAACCCTATAAATACAGAGATTTAGTTATATCCTGTAAAATCAAGGGTAAGGGCAAGATAAAACATACCTGTAAAGTAAAAACATTATTATCAGAGGCCGTGTTTTTGATCATCAATGCAAAGAAATATCATCTGAGGCTATTTCTTCGCCAGCACTACAATCGAATCTAAAATTCGATGAAGCAGCTTTCAGGTAAACTTGAACGTAGCATTTACTATGTATTCGCCATGCAGCCCACAAAATGTGGCTAAAATTAAACAAGACATTTTTATCTAGTTATGTTTTCCTACTGTTTTCAATCTCAAAAATTCGTTGAATATGATCTGTAGTGTTCCTTGTAATGTTCTATCCTCAAAAGCACTATGATATACTTAACGCTATTACCTGTATTTGTGTGATTTTTAACAATAGGTTATCTGCGATGTTTTGTTATTGTCTTTCTTTTAACCAAACCATCTTTTTGTTTTTAGTGTTAGATATCTCTCATTTATTAACTCTAATTAAACCACTAGGCAGATGGAGAACGGTCTAACTTGGCATATGATATATATGATATGATATATACAGATAGCATCGTTTAACTTCTATTCACACCATTAATAAATCATAGCAATATGTCATAAAATATCAAATATAAACTGAATAACAATTATTTAAGGTTAAATTTAATTCCCCTTCATTGGGATACAACAGATCTTTTTATTTGTGTAATTGTTGAACACGTCCCACTAATATCCATACTTGATACATTAGTATATCAGCTTATTTTCAGAAAGTCATTACATAGTATTTTTCATCACATTTAGTTATTATATACTATACTATGCTCACTGCTGTGCTGAATAGTATAATACAGGTTTCAACATTGTGTATAAAATATTACTTAAGGGTTATTTTTTTCCCCACGTTCACTGATGGACAATTTGAAGAAGGCGGTTTATTTTAACATAAACATACATAACCTTGATTACAAATATGTTATGTAATAAATATACAAGACTATATTCATGAATAGATCCCATTATGTTCAGTTATATCATGAATACTTTTAAGCTTCCATTTTTTCGGATGTCTAACTCTAATTATTTACGTGTGCATTTAGAGAATACTCTTACTAGTGAGTGTTAAATTTCTATAACAAGAAATGGATATTTAAGCTATTCTACTACTTTTAACATTGTACATATTAATATATTTGTCTGTGTGTAAAAGCTTATAAATCTTTGTGTTATAAACATAAACATTATATATGTAATTATTTCTTCTCAAAAAGGGTCATCTGATAAATTGTGTTTTGAACTATATAGTCTCGTTTGCTCATTTTTCTTACGTGTAATGAAACGGGCGAAACGTAATTGTTAGCGTGCTGAGCTATGGACGAAAGGTCCGAGGTTCGTGCCGCGATGATGCTGAATACGATCCGCACTTTCAGCCTGGTGCATTATAACAATGGAGTTAATCACGTTATTCTATTTAGAGCCAGACAAAGCCTTCCTGGTGGTGGGTGTTGCTGACTGGCTGCTTTCCCTCTTGTCGATAGTTCTGAGGTTCTATACCTGAACCCTGAGGTTCTATACCTAGACAGATTGAACATATTTACCTTTACCTAACTGTGGTTTCCAAAACGAATTTATAAATTTTTTGAAACGTCTAACAAATTCCGTAGTTAAGGAAATAAAAACAAACTTAACGCTGCAATAAATCGTATAATTAAAGTTAAAAATGTGAAACTAATGCTATATGAATGCTAAGATGCTAGATACTATAAATAATTGAAAACAAAGTGTAATTAGCATGACTGGTCAACTTTGTTTGGAATCCTTTTAGATTTTACATTTGATACTCTCAAAATGTGTCGATTTTTAAATGGATTATTGCATATAATTATCACAGGTAAACTTCTTCAAACCTATAAGTTACCTTAAGGTACTTGTTAACTAATTATGTACATTTCAAATATTAGATGTGGAGTTTTTAGCAAAATGATGTCATCCAAGATGCATTTGCGAGGATACAATGCAAAATACTGAGCAGACGAATCTAGTCCGAAACACAGTACATGGATATCATTAGCTATCTCTAGTAAATCCAAACTGAATATCTTTAGATGGTATTGCTTTTAATGGTGTTGAAGGTATTACACTGAACAAGATTCTTTTCTACGTTTGGCCTTTTCACATTTTTAAAAGGATCCAGCGTCACTATTGCTACCACAGAGAAGATCCCAAACGAACATTATCTGATGCATTTGATGTGCTCCAATGTGTTATTATAAAGATGATCCATTAAATATGTCTGTGTGTATGTGCTAGCATACACACCTACAGTTGGCTAGCTCGATTATCGTAATTTTTATATGTTCGACAGTGTACGTAAGATATTTCCTCTTAGAATTTTTACACGAGAAAGGAAATAAAAAACACCCTGAAATTGGGCACTTTTCCATATATTTATAAACATTTGGCTTTTAATTTTATGACAGAAGTACTTAATCAGTTGAATGAGCCAATTACTATCATCAGCCCCCAAATGGCACAGCGGTATGTCTGCGGACTTACAACGCTAGAAACCAGGTTTCGATTCCCGTGGTGGGCTGAGCACAGATAGCCCTTGAGTAGCTTTGTGCATAATTAAAAACAAACAATACTATCTTCCTCAAAGCAGCGTATGTAATTAACATCTAATGAGGTAATCACGGATTTAATACCAAAAGAAGGAAGGGGAACATTATATTTGTCCTTTATAATTAATTATACTTTTTTTAACACAACATTGTTTCTCTAATCTAACATAGTGTGTTTCAATCACACTATGTTCGCCACATCCATGTATAATTAATAATAATCATGCTTCGCCAGCTTGCAAAAAGAGTTCCCACCACATCAATTGTTGTTGTAATAAACGGTTTATATATGTGTTCCGACCAGTATTGTGTTTGTTGTGTTCCAGCCGGCCTGATGAGCTCTGGATTGAGCGAAACGCGTCGTCAGCAGTAGATATGACAAATATAGTGTGGTTAAAATACTATTATTATGCACTCTTCAGATTTTTGAAAATCCCTAAGGGACTAGTTTAAAAATGTGATGTTAAATATATAACAGGCCGAACATAATGTCTTATGACAAGTATAATTAATTATAATCATGCTTCGCCAGCTTTTAAAATGCGTTCACACCATAACAGTTGTCCTTTGTACATTTTTTGTTTCCTTAACGGGTACCCTCAACTAGTTATGTCTAAACATATTTGAGGTCGTGAACTGAATTTGATGTGTATGAAATATTCAACCTGAGAGGCGCCTAATCAGCATGTGGGCTAAATGGCCAGGTCAAAGATCCCTAAGGTTCAGTACCTAATTCTCAACTAGTGACCGAGAGGAAAGGCAGGCAGCCAGCAGCAACCGTCACCTCAAGAGCTTTGTACGATTCATTGAACCGAATGACTGAATTGACTTTCATTTTTATTATGAAACCGCGGATGAAAGTGACAAGCACGTTCAGTGGTGCCACGTCTTGAACCCAGGATCTTTTGATTAGTAGCTTGACACGCTAAACATTGTGCCAGTCGCGACCCCAAAATGTGAGTGAAAAGAAACGTGCTGTGCTCTGAAGTTTAGATTTAATTGGTCATCTAATGAATTTATCGTGCGGTTTCTCTTAGCCTGATTTCTGTGGAGTCCACGTGATCTTGTTTTTGTTGTAATTTCATTTAATTCTGGAAAGTATAGGTTAACAATGAATATAAAACATTCGAGACTTTAAAATACAAATAAGTATTAGATAAGCAATTCCAGAGAATTACTCTTGATTGTTTCATGTACAAAGCATATAAAAGAAAGAATCCATATTTGAAATTCACTATATTATATCGAAACCTCGCCGCTACAAAATTAATGTTTCACATTTATGTTGATATCAGTTATCTTTATTTAACGCCCCCCCCCAGTGACACAGCGGTATATCTGCGGACTTACAACGCTAGAATCTGAGGTTCGATACCCATGGTGAGCAGAGCACAAATAGCCCATTGTATAGCTTTGTGCTTAATTACAAACAAACAAACATTTATTTAACAATGGCGAATAACTGAATGGTGGTAGATACCTAAATACATGTTTATTATAGTTCTGTGTAATGATAATCATTCAAACGAATAATGGTTCGGGCTTAACTTGATGGTTATAGTGCCAGAGTATGAATCCATCATTTGTGAGTGTTCTTTCTATAAGAGTAGCATGTTAAATCCGATTAGAGATAGCCCAAGAACTGGCTATTTTCTCCCAACTCCGTCAGCTCAAAATTAGAGACGGCTAACACAGATAACCCTTGTAGTATAACTTTCGCGAATATTCGAAACAAACAAACAAACAAAAATAATACATTTTCTAAAGAAAAATTTATCTTTTTCTAGCAATGTATTATTTGTAATAAAGGAGTAATTTGGTCGCAGATATTTATATTACTTATAGTTCCACTAGAATATGTTTCCTCAACTTGTTTATGACTCTTAAACGTTTGATTATGTTGAATGTTTTTAACGTATCTATATTTAAAGACATTGTTTTCGCTTGTTTTTTACAGGTTTATTTCACATCGTCGAATCAGGACACGGCGGAATCATAAACGTGGAAAAGGAAAATGTCTTGGTGTTTACAAACGTTTCCAATTGTGCAACTTAAAGGTAATATCAATTCCAAATTTATCACGAAAGTGTATTGATTATGAAGGAAATTTAAATAATACAAACTATATAGTTAAAATACATTAAAACAATTGCTTATCTCAGATGTACTTTAATTGTAAAATATGGTTTTTATCACGATATAAATTATATAGTATAATTTTTTCAAGAAAATTCGATAAGATATTACGTTATTTCCAAGTTATTTACATGACATTGATATTGTTATCTTAAGATATTACGTTATTTCCAAGTTATTTACATGGCATTGATATTGTTATCTAATAATAGTAAAATATTTGAATTTTCTATTAATAAGATTTAAGCACAAATAGCTGTATGTGTGTGCGCTTATAACTGGAAACCGCTGCACCGACTGTCACCAAACCTGGTATGTACCTTTAAGTTCTTCAGGAAAGACATAGGGAGGTAGTCGTTTCGATCTGATCCCCCTACATCTTCCTGCGCTGTAGACTATAAAAAAAGTTGTATCTCAGTGTGTTAAAGAAGTACAAAACTTCTTTGTTGTTAATATTGACGCGGTGCTTGGTATCTGTAACGTTAATATACTGACGTCTTATTGGTTAAAAGGAAAGACTAGTTAAATAGGTCGATTACTGAAAAATAAAGTATTCTCTTTGTTGATAGCGTTGATACTATGTAGCTTCAATGTTATGTTTTTTTGGCTATGAGCTATGTGCCAGACTCGTGGAGAAGAAAGAAAGGCATTTCGAGAAAAATCTCTCGACTTCGATTCCTTTCATTGTGTACTGAGTACTTTCAAATCCAAATATCTGTGAACCAATGAAGAGCTTTCTTAGTACTATTCTTAGTTCTGGATAGTTGCCAATCTGTAATTGGACGACGAACTGAAATGCGTCGATAAGTATATGCTACAATAAGATATGTAACAAGGAAGTTACGTATTCACCTTTTCTTTACGTTACAGAAGTTAAGTTTACGTTCTTTGTGTAAGAGCAAGTGTTCGTCATATTCGTCACTGATGTTTTCTTCATATTAAAATACGTTGTCAATAAAATACCCTGCTCTTCACAAACAATTTGAACAGACAGTAATGCACAGGAGAGTCAAAAGCATTTGCTTTTTACTTTTCTGTTCTATTTTACTTATAAACAAAAAGGTCACAGTGCTGTTACGTTAATGGTAACGAAGTTGCAATGTTGATAAAAAGTAGAAGGTTTAAAAAGGTGAAAACCTAAAATCGTACATTATGATTTACACGTTCGTAAAAAAATGAAAGTTTTCAAACTGAATGACAAATTACATCCAATAAACATCCACACCCTCAGGGGTATAGACGTCTGGCGCCATGACATTCATGTTTTGGTTAACAACCATGACATATACACCCGTCTTACGTCAAGGAATAGACAGGATCATCTCTCTTTTCCCAACTAATTCACTAGAGAATAACCTAAGTCTGTTTAAAATCTGAAATGCATAACGTTTCACACGTACACGCACGTGTTAAAAAAGCGCCGGTGTTGTATACCAGCAATTTTATAACAAATAAAAAAGTATTTTACGCACATACATATATCTACATACGATGTGCTCTTATGCAGTAACATCTGCCATCACCCCCTTGTTTTACTTTTTAACATTCCATGTACTTGAAATAACTCGTTGTGCATGTTAATAAAACCTGTGACACCTTCTCGAACTAACTGAATACTCACTATTTTCAAGGTTTCTCTAATAAAACTGGTGTAGAACTGCTATTTATCATTTTTTCTTTCGACATTTAATATAAGTATTGAGAATAATGTATACATTTTATGTATTTTGGCGCTCAAAAAGATTTCCTCAACTCCGAACAATATTAAACTATTGGATGACATACTATATGAATTTAGCTTTGGTAGGTATTTAAATACCTCGCTTTTATTTAGTACAGTAGTTATTTTGTTTCATATATATATAATTTTTTCATATATGCCGCCTTGTTAAATATTATAAATATATTGTTTTTATATGAAGTCGCTCAGTCGTAGAAGATAAATTAATTTGACTATTTCTTTAATCCCCAAATCTTAAACAACCTTGTAGATACAGTATATGAAATCACTTTCTAGAACAGCAAAGCTTTGTTTAAAACTTGATTGTTTAATGATAGAAGTTCCTACATAGTCAGTAGGCGTAGAAGATTTAGGTCGATCGACTGAATCAGTGAAATATTTGTGTCATACTTAAATATTTTATTAAACTGTTTTCTCTCGACTGAGAAAGTATCTTGTGGCATTAAGGTAACAATTAAGGTTTTTGTGGGGAAAATACTTGCATTGGCGAGTTTCACTATTTGGTTATTTCGGGCTCATACTTGCATTGGCGTGTTTCACTATTTGGTTATTTCGGGCTCATCAGAAGCAGTACAGTAAATATTTTATAAAATATTCATTGTCAGATTAAAAAATGTCTGGGTTCATTGAATAAGTGTGAAGATTTTGTTTTTTTTTTCACTAACTAGTTTCTTATTTACTTCTTGTATCATATCGAATACTTTTATTTACATTTTGTGTTACATAGAACACTTTTACATATTTCTTATGTCACTTCGAACACTTTTATCTACTTTTTCTGTATAATATAATATCAAACGTTTAGGGGAAGGTTCACTTGACATTAATAATAATGTGTTTAAATGCCGTTTAGGTATGTTTATTCTGCCATTATTTGGGCGTTCTTTGAGTGCTCTTCAAAAACGTAACTCGTACTGTTTTCATTTATATAAGCGATTTTTGTAATGCAGTTTTTGAGTCAATGCTTGTATTTCATTCACCTCGACATTTCGTTCATTGAATTTAAATAGACCATTCATTCAAACTAAGCTGTTAGTGGAATGCTAGTTGTTCAATCCAAAATAAAAACAAAATGTGATATGCTTTAAATTTAAACCAACGCTGATTATGAACTTCATTTCTACAGCTCTGAAGACATTTGTAGAGGAGTATTTTTTCCAAAATTAAAGGTATTTTCATACGCTTAATGTTTCAGTAACTAATGAAAAACAAAACATAGAGATATTTCGTAAGCCTACGAGACATGGATGCACTACCAAAAAAGTAATGGTATCGTCTGTTGTCCTTTAATCTGTTTAAATGTTTGTTGATATTTTTACAGGAACTAAATGAACACTTTAGTAATTTATGTATTAAAGAAAGAAGATTATAATAATCCTTCTTGGATAATCTTAATTTGGTTTTGGTTACACAAAGTTAATAACCCATTTCTTTATTTTAAAATGCTGTTACCGAGTTAATTTCCTTATTTACTTGTTTATATTTTTCGAAATGATGTTATTACGAGTGTACAAAAGACGAAAAACACCGAACAATTATAAATTTCCTGAAATAACTTTTACTTGGAGTAAATTAAACGACTTAAAGAAATTTGTCCTATCTCTGCAAAAAAGAAAAGAAAATGTATTCTGGCAGCTCAGCTGAATAAAGATAAATCTGTTGTAGATTATAAATTATCTGCTAGTAACTTTCCGGGTTTTCTTAAGAAAAAGGTTTACACATTTCTCTCTCTAGCCGTGCAAACTTTCACTTGACCACAGGAAGGAGCAGTGTGCCACGTTTGATGGACAAAACTTCAGAGGAAGGTATTATCGTTGGGTGCCATACATAAAAGGTAAGAATTTTGATTCGGTAATTCGTTTTCTTTTTCTTCATGTGTTTAACTGCTCCACCAAAAATAAGAAATGAAATAAAATATTAGAAAAAAGGAAAATTAACGACAAAATGTTATATTTCGAATTCACCAATAACATGCACTCTTTAGCTGTAATTCGTCGATAAAAATTCTAATAATAAAAATTTGTAGAATTAAATCTATGATTCATAAATCACATCATTGAATGTTATAATCTAAAGAATATTTCTTACTTTAACTGCGTTTATAAGTATGGATTGTTTTATCTTTTTTGTGTGTAATGCTTAGTTGTTTTCTTTGCCCTATAACTTTTTCTCAAGTGTATAAAAGCCATTCAAGTGTTTATAGAAGATTTTCTGTCGTAAATGGAAGTGTGATTAACAGTGACTATTGGGACAAAAACATCTGTATATATTTTACACTTACGTATTCAAACAATACAGAAGGGTGGTAAGAAGTCATGAGATAGTAAGAAACTGTCTTTGAGAACATGCTATAAAGATGTTAGTAAACATAAATAATAATAATGATAAAACATATTGTCATCTTACTTGACCACACGTAAAGCCCTAGGTGGAATAATAATGTGCTATCTTGGGGGTTGTACGTGATGTAACTTAAAGCTGGGTGTTCCAGTATCTCGTAGCGTTGTTTAGTTATACTATAATAAGGCTTCATATATTTATACATCAACATTTTATATATTTCTGTATAGTAAAATGGTGGAATCGCCAACCTAAAAATGATAATATATGGGGTATATAAAGGTTTAATTTTCTAAATAATCAATAAAATTGAATAATTTGATTATCACAATTAGCTCCCGTTATTACGTCATATCAAAGGACGAATATTCATGGCAGAATTTTCAAAGTCCATAAAATTACTGATTATACACACGAGCTACTTATAAGCAAATCATGACAAGGTACATTTACTTCAGTGCTAGGTTTTAAAACGTTGCCACACAATAAAATATAGCCAAACTAACATGTGCAGTAACATTTACTCTAATAAAATAAGCCACATAAAAACCCTTATAGAAAAATAAGAGGCTGCAAGTAAAAAATTAGGTTGGCTCACAAAGGGTTTAGAGGATAAAATTTAATTAATGCTATAATAGGCGACTTGAGGATTATTGAAGATCAAGATAGTTGGCCAAACGGGAAATTAGGAAATCAAGAAACTATATGGTAAAAGGTTGCCTAAAAATATAAAAATTAATAGTAATGATTTCTTTAAATATATTAAAAGCAAACAAAATGTTAGAATGGGAGTAGGGCTTTTGAAGGATGACAAAGGAGGGCTCATAGCTAATTAATATAAAATGGTTGGGTTATTAGATTCTATTTTTTTTCAATTTCTGACAAGTGAAGATTTAAGCACATTCCTGAACAGTTGCTAGATGGAAACAAGATGATCACATTAATTTCGAGCTTGTTAAAAAAAGGGAAGTTTAAAGAATGATAAAGCCCTTGGGCCAGATAATGCTTTCTCAAGAGTTTTAAAGGAGGTTAAAGATTTGATATGTGAGCCATTTGCTACTATTTTTGAATAATCCTTGAATAGTGGGCAGGTGCCAGAATATTGGAAGCTGGCTAATGTTACTCCTCTTTTTAAGGGAGGTAATTATAGGCCTATTAGTTTTACATCAGTGGCGGAAAAGTTTTTTGAAAGACTGAAAAGAGATTTTTGGAAATTAATTTAATGAAGTTTAAAATTTTATTGGATAGTCAGCATGGTTTTACTTGGGAAAAATCTTACCTAAATAATCCTTTGGCATTCTTTTAAGAGGTTGCTACTTATGTTGAGGAAGGTAAAGGGGTGATTTTGGTTTATTTGGAATTTCAGAAAGCATTTGACAGTGTGTCACATGAAAGGCTTGATAAAAAAAATATCTTTGTAGGTGTGGAGGATAGGTTGGCTGTTTGGATAGAGAACTGGTTAGATGGAAGAAAGCAAGGAATTGTTATAAATGTGGTACTTCAAGTTTCAGTGTTGCAACCTAATGTTTTTTATCATTATTTAAATCAGTAACATAGATGCAGGAATGGTCTATAAATTGCTTAAATTTGCTGATGATATTAAGGTTTTGTGTGTTGCTTGCCATGAGGAGGATGTTGCCGCTTTACAAAATATTTAGATTATTTGGTGAGTTGGTGAATAAATGGCAGATCATTTTAATTATAATAAATGCAAGGTAATGCGTATAAGATATCATAATTTGAATTATAACTATCATATTTAAACGGGAATAACCTTAACAACACAACGAAAAAAGTTATTTTGGTGTTTAATCAGTCTCTTAAGCTATCCAAGCAATATGTTGTTGCTAGTGGGAGGGCAAGTACCATTTTAGGTTTTATCTACAGAAATATTCCATACAAACTTAAAAAGATTAGAATTTCGTCGTATTTGTCATTGGTTAGATCACATTTAAATTTTTATATTCAGTCCTTACCTTAGAAAGGACACTGAGTTGTTGGAAAGGGTTCAGAAGATGGCTACCTGGGATAGAAAGGCTGTCGTACGAAGACAGGTTAAAAACTGGATTTCTCTTGAACACAAAAAGAAGGATTAGAGAGAATTTGACTAAAATGTTTAATATTGTTAAAATAATTGATAGTGTTGCATAATCTTTTTTCGTTATTAATGGTGAGAATGGTAGCACTAGGAGATACATATATATTTTGCAAGGAAGGATTCTTATTCAGATAAAACAGTTTTATTTTTTCTAATAGGCTGTTTGGCTTTTGAAATGCATTGTCTTCAGATGTGGTGGATGCAATTAATTTAAGGGACTTCAAGGGAAGACTTGATAAATATTTAAATAATAAGGGTTGTCTTTGAATGTTTTATCTTCATTTTGAAAGTTTAATTTAGTGGATGGGATGGCCTAGATGGACCAATAGGTCCCCTGTTGTCCTTCAGTTCTTTATATGTATGCATATAAAAACGAGTTTGTTTGTTTGTTGCTAACCGCAAAGCTATTGAATAGGCTGTCAGTACTGTGCCAATCAGAGATATCTGACCCCGATATTTAGAGTTATAAGCCCTCACACTTACCGTTGTGCCGTTGTGAGGGAAAGTGGGCAGTACTTTAGAAAAAAAAAGTCTTATTTACTGCAGTTTGGATAGATATTATACAATGTTGCTTTCTATTATTCTGGCTCATTTAATAACAAACGCAATAACCGTAACAACCAGCAACGTTTTCTTTTTGTATTGAAAAATATTATATTAGCTCATGTTACAACCAGACTACTGTAAAATAATAATAAATCCGTTAAACTACGGAAAAAAGCACAGGTAGGACATTTATAGGAAAGTTTCTGGATTTTGAAAGAAAATATTTTAAAGAATATGTTTAATAAAGAGAATACTTGCGGAATATCCTTAAAATTACGAAAGCTATTCCGTTATTTTCCGTTAAAATACCGTGTTTTATAAAAAGTCCCGAAAGTTTTACGTTGTTTTTTATTCTCTATAGTTTCAAATGAGCCATTTTTTGTTAACTTACATTAATGGCCAACAGTATTACAGTTCTTTCCATGGGCCACTATTATGCTAGCTAGCGTAACGCCAAAGAGGATTATAGTAACTTGCCATGGTCCACTGTTATGTTAGCTAACATGGCGCCAAAGATGTGATGATATAAGCAAAGCCTAGACCACTACTATATATTATCCCAGATGGCTTGATGAGCACTGGTATTAATCGAAAAGTCTCGTCGGTACTGGATATGGTAGATATAGTGTGGTTGAGATATTATCAAATATCTTATAATATTTGATAATATCTCTTAGCTTTCACTTGCAAGTTCTCAGAAATATTATAATAGCTTTCCATGGACTGCTACTACTTTGTTACCTAACATAACAAGAAACTGAAATCATAAGATTATTTATGGCCACTGGTATCTGGGAGGGCGAGGGAAAAAGTATTTGTTTAATTTAAAATGCTGATGTTTTGTATTATATGGCTACAGTTCAGTAGTTATGGCTTTAAACAGATGAGGTTTGACATACCAACGTTTTATGCAAACAGGTACATCAGTATCCTTTAGAATACCAAGTTTTTATGCAACCAGGTACATCAGTATCCTTCAGAATGCCGACGTTTTATGCAACCAGGTACATCAGGATCCTTCAGAATACCAACGTTTTATGCAATCAGGTACATCAGTATCCTTCAGAAGACCCAACGTTTATGCAACCATGTAGATCAGTTTATGCTGGATAAAAAGCTGTTTCTACAAGAAAGAAGCAACAGAATATATTCTCACTTGAATGGATTTGTGGATTTCCCCCAATATAGCTTGTTACCCAGGGTTCTGAAGGATACTGATGTACCTGATTGCATAAAACGTTGGTATTCTGAAGCATACTGATGTACCTGTTTGCATAAAACGTTGGTATTTTGAAGGATACTGATGTACCTGGTTGCATAAAACGTTGGTATTCTGAAGGATACTGATTTACCTGGGTGACTTCTATCTCACTGTGTTATTTTTTAATAAATCCTGTGGTCTGTGCAAGTAACTATGTCGTTTTTTTTATTAAGTGACTGTGCATATATATTAAGTCAACACTTGATTATTGCTATATCAATAAGTATTAACTACCAAAACATCGTCTACTATTATATAATTATAGAGCAGTTAAACACATTTAACCAAATACATAAACATCGATGCATAATTATTGATTATGATGTATTATTTAGTTGAATATTTTGAGATGCAAATATTTTTATGTATAGTCATTCTTCTTGTGAAATCTCACTAGCTAGATATATTTTTCTGTTGATGAGTGTTGGGTGTCGTTGTTTAAGTAACATGCTTCTTTGCCCTGTCCATCTTCTTATCAAATGAAAGGTCTTTATGATATTTTATTAACTTACAGAAATAGAAAAATGTGAACTCCATTGTAGACCAGTTGGTTATCAATTTTACGCTCGTCTAGCCAAGATTGTTGAGGATGGAACATCATGTTCGGCTGAAACATCGATGGACAAAGTGTGCATCGCTGGACATTGTAAGGTGAGTGTGGATTATTACATGTCATTAAAAGAATGGACTCGGAAAAAGATTTTATGAGATCAAAACCTGGATTCGAACGTTGGCACGCTAACATATGTGTTTTAGAAACTGTTCCAGGATTAGTTTGGAAATGTTGCCCAGCTGAATAGAAATATTTAACGAATTTTGGAGGAAAAGTATATTTTGATCCATAAAATAAATAGAAAACCCTAAATAAAGCATATATATATATATACGTGCGTGTGTGAAATTAAAAGGACCATGTATTATAAAAGACGCTTTTAATACTTTGAGAGAAAAATGGAAAAGTGATCAATGTAGGAAACATTAATTAGTGTACACTGGTGGAGATATAAATGCTTAGTCTTTTGTTTCTTTAACTAAACTGTTACTGCTTATATAAACAATATGATACCTTTAACTCTGCTTATATTCAAATATATAGATGTGCACCAACTGTTGTTTAATACAAGTCAGAGGATCTTAAAGCAGTCTATAAATACGAGTCAGAGTATCTTAAAGCAGTCTATAAATACAAGTCAGAGTAACTTAAAGCAGTCTATAAATACAAGTCAGAGTATCTTAAAGCAGTCTATGAATACAAGTCAGAGTATCTTAAAGCAGTCTATAAATACGAGTCAGAGTAACTTAAAGCAGTCTTTAAATACAAGTCAGAGTATCTTAAAGCAGTCTATGAATACAAGTCAGAGTATCTTAAAGCAGTCTATAAATACAAGTCAGAGTATCTTAAAGCAGTCTTTAAATACAAGTCAGAGTATCTTAAAGCAGTCTATAAATACAAGTCAGAGTATCTGTAAAACGGAAAATTGAGCAACTTGTTATGTCGAACCATTTGATATTTGTTTCCATGAGAGAAATTATAACATAATGAGGCTGTTTATACAAATGAACGTATCTGTAAAGTATATTCGTTTCTAAAACCTTGAGGTATTTACTGCCAAACCTCTGGTTTTTCAAACTTCAGTAATAGGTAATAAAGTAAGGTAACTTTAAAATTTATAAATTAGGAACGTTTAGGAAATATATTTCTATTCTTGAAGACATTTAATATAAGTTATTAAATTAACTTTCGAAACAAACTGGTCGAAGCTTCATGGAATATTGACATAATCAACGAGTAAACGAAGAAGCAATAAGTTTTCCTACAATCAAATCCGATTAGAATTAAATAAAGAATTGTATTTCATTTTAAGATAATTCTAATTGAAGATGAATGGTTATCACCAAAAAAGTATGGTCGTCCCAAGGAGAATTATTGTTTGTGAAAGTGGTTAACTGCAATTCAAAGAAATATAGCCTATAAGACTTATTGAATGTATTTTTAAAGCTTAACTATAAAACATTTCTGACATTGTGTAAGGTAGTGTGTTTACATTCTTTAAAAAATTTATGTCGTCTTTGAAGACTTAAGAACATTCATTCTTATTCAATGTTTACCTCCATGAAGGTGTAGTAAAATCGTTTTACTTAGAAAATCACAATAAACTATTAAGTAAAACTTATCGAACGTGTAAGTGTGATAGATGGCATTTCCCTCACAAACTGGTAGCCATCCCTAGTAGACAATGCAACCCATCTGATGGACGGTCCTCTTGTCACTTCCCTGACATTAATCATATGAAACCTTCCTGTTTATAGGTTGATTTATCATTATCGCAGCCACTTACACAATTACCAGTAGTTCAGAAGTTTCTAAGGATGACTCATTCGATGGCCTACAAACACTAAGATATGGGTCTCATGGTCTCTACCCCCTATCTTTTAGTGAATAACATGTTTACTGACCCACCAAAGAAGGGTGCCTTTATAGCTCACCATGAGCGACGATTTTATGCTTCATTTTATATAATAACCAAGGTATCCGTGGGTTTAATTCTTACAAGTTTGTCACGTTTATGACTTAAGAGTTATGACACTGTAACCCTGTGCTTTTTTCATATACATATAAATTATTTTTAGACAGAATATATCCACATATCTTTTAAAATGATAGTACAAATTAATACTTTTTTCTGTGAGGTTTTATAAAGCACGGATTGGTTTCTGGTTTGTAACGCTGACCTGATCCTCATTTTTGGTTTTCAAGATTTGAGCTCCAAAATCAAAACTTACAAGATCGGTCGTAGTATACAAAATGATAGGCTATAATACAATTCATAAGCATGCCTTTTTTATAGAGTGACAAATATTTCGTTAGGAATGTTTTAGTTTTTGTTGTACATTCGATATTGTAATTTGGAGTGTATATGCAAATAATGCGTATTGAAATTATGAATAATCAATGTGAACCAGGGCACGTTAGCACAGAGACAAGACTGTTTATAACCAAACTTAAGATGTAACAATCTGTTTGGTAATTGACTGCATTGGTTCCAGAACCTTTGTTCTTTTAATTATGGACCGGTTGTTACCCAGTAGTTAGCGTGCCCAGAATATGAATCTTATGGTTCACTGCTCACATTTCACTACCGCAAACACATGTTCTGAGCTTTGAGTTGTAGGTGCGATATAGGAGTGGTGATAACAGCCCACTATTCGGTCATACAAGAGTAGCCCAAGTGTTGACGGTGGTTGCTGTTAACTACTGTCTTTCCTCCAATCTATTAGTTTAAAACTAGATACGGTTATGCGCAATTGGCCTTCGTGTAGCTTTGCGTAAAATATCTAGAATAAATAAATAAACATTTAATTACTGCACAACAGCTTGTCCACATAGGATGTCGGAAGGACCACAAATACAGCCAAAAATGAACTTTAATACCAAATGTTTCGACGAGAATAATGTTTTTAGCAAGGTTTACGGAATACGCAGCTGCGAAAAGCTGAATAAGATTGATAATAATTTTTTAATTAATAGAATAGTAATTTAAGTACTACAGCTGTACTATTATAGAATTATCGTGTGACCAACAACCACATCTTACGTACTATTAAACACAATTATATGTAAGTCTTCCATGTTTAGCATCGTTCTGTAACTAAAGCCCACATTACTTAACTTATAATGGCTTTAGCTTATTAAGCCTAACGGAAACCAGCTCTCCCATGTCAAAAGTACCGTAAAATCATGATCATGCTGTTTTTTCGAATTGTTAAGAGAAAACCGAGAAAGTCGTAAAGCATAGAGTTTTTATGCGACTAAACGATCTTATCCTAGGAGCAGAGAGTCGTTAAGCGCAACACGTCTATATGATTTACCAAGTGGAAGCACTGAATCACTGCCAGAGACCTCCTACTGGTAGTTCTAACCAAAGTCGGTACCCTTGTTCATCAAGTGACTCATTCACGCTCTAGGGAGACAGGGAGAGAGCCTTATCTGGTGGTTGGCAACCTACCCATCACAACGCTCAGGGGGCTGTCTGGTTTTATTTCATAAGTGCCGCTTACTGGCACAGCATTGACAACATCAGATGCTTAAAGGTTTGCCTCAACCAGTGTCAATTAGTCAATCTAGATGTTACTAAAAAGACATCTCTTGATTAACTCTTGCACTTTAAATTATTAATAAAACATGCAAAACAAAAATGTGTATTCCTGATCATCCAATCTATTAATGCTACATTCATTGATGTTTTCAATGACTCCGGGTGTTACAAAGCCTTTCTGTGGGCAGAATGTTCTTCAAATGAATCATGACCATGTGTGTGGGTTTATAGTTGCCCTGGAAACCTAGTAGCTGTTAAACTTATTACGTCAGGTTATATAATATGTCGACAACTTAAATAAAACAAGTACTATAATATATCGAAAGGTTCCTTCAAGATGCTTCCTAGACACATATATCAAATTCGAAACTGGGTCTTTGAGGTCATAAACAGATGCCCCAGCCCACACTCTCGCTCTCTTAACTGCTTTAGGTACATAAGAAAAGTCTGATAGTTAAATGCAAAGTCTACTGCAATAACTGAAAACATAGTTTCCAGCTATATATATGTCGGACTTCATCAGTGACATTTTAATAAAAGCAACAAATGATAACAAATACATCATAATCTTTTTCACAATTTCACCTGGTTTAGCGACCGGTTCTTTGAAAATTTTCTTGATGGAAACGTTTCTTTCCAATCACGAGCGAATTTAATTATAAGAGTTAGAAGCAATTCAATTAGAAGTTATGGATTTTTTAAGCCCTAAGGAAACCAAGTGTCACGAATGAGGTCATACTGAAGAAATATTACATTGCTGTATAATATTAATATCCTATGTAATATTAATATCCTGTATAATATTAATATCCTATTTCCATAATTACTATATTCAAAACACACACTCACGCGCACACACTTATTTCTGGGAGATAATGTATGTTTTCTTTTTTCACGTAAGCTACAATTTACTATCTATTTTTAAAAATGAAGCGAAGCCGTATATACAGAAAGAAACAAGGGTGTTTGAAATGTGTATGCCATGGTAAGTAAAGTTCCATTTATATTTTGTGTTCTGTTTTGGTGTGTTAGAACAAGGTGCTGCCTTGGTTGTTTTAAGCTAATAATATTAAGAAGTATTGCAACTGTTACAGCAGGTGTTGCTCTAAACAAGAAATATTTATTATAAATAATTTATACATATAACATGTAAAACGCTTTTTTTACTTCAATGGTTGTGATTTCGCTTTATTCCCTGTTTAATATTTATAGTTAGTTTCAATATGCTAATAATTATCACTTCTATCTTCCCGACCGAAAAGGTTCTGAGAGATATAACGATGACGTTGTACATCCGTTCGTTTGTAAACAGCTATTTTACGCGGAATAACTAGAGTTCTAAACAGCAGATTCACAGGTTATTTTCTTGAAACTGGGGAAAATCCAATTGATTTTATAGTTAAGAGTTCAGACCATTATTATTTGGTACATTTTAGGGTGAAACTTTTTTTATAAGAGATTGCTAACCTGAGCGGTTAAAAAGTGCTTTACTCACAAAAGTTAGTGGGCTAATTTCTTAATTCAGTTGTTAAGAAAACTTGTTGCATCTAAGTA